TGGGAGTGTAATCTGGATATATTGGGTCTTATTTCCCTTAAACAATCTTCCTTTCTCTAAAGCATTTAGTCTGTTTTGTAAACCTTTACCTGAGATAATTTTTAAACTTTAAACCAAATATGTCCCCTGGAGTCTTCTTACAACGAAACAGTCTCTTAGCTGACTAATAAAAAAGTTCTACATGTCGGAGAAAGATGAGGCTTTCTGCTCCTGTAAAGATTTACATCCTCAGAAACCGTATACAGGGTCACTATGAGTTGGAACCAACTCTGTGACACACAACCACTGTGCATTGTGTTCTTTTAAGATTTATGTGGGATCAAATTGACATCAGCAACATGAAAGATTAGGTAGGAACCCAGAGGGCAGTTGGTTTACATTAGTGGGGAAGAAACAACTCAGAAAAGGATGGGGAGAATTGTTGGACAACTTGAAGAATGTAATCAGTGTCACTGAACTTTACATGTAGAAATTATCAAGTTGGTATATGTTGTGTTGTGCATATTCTCAACAGTAACAAAATGAATAAAATTGAAATAAAAAATACTGATAAAACAACAATCCATACTAGACAAGCTCTCGAGTGCCTTTTCAGGAACCCTGGCCTTGAGCTCATGATCTAATTGGGGAATTTACCAATAGACAAAATTGTTATTAAGTGCAATTGAGTTGGTACCAACATGTAGTGACTTTGTATAGGGTTTCTGAGGCTGAAAATCTTTGTAGGAGCAGAAAGCCTCATTATTTGTCTGACAGAGTGGCTGGTGGGCTCAAACTGCCAACGTTGGCGGTTTGCAGCCCAGTGTTTATCCTACAGAACCACTGTAATCTCCAGACAAATTAAATAATGTCAATTCTGTGAGGAAACATAGGCAACCTGCTACATAATATTGTTATTTACTGTGTTGGAGACACTATTCTAAGTATTTTGGATACATTTAACCCTCACCACAACAGAGCATGAGGCCCAGAGAGGTTAAGTAGCTCTCCAAGGTTACTTAAAAGATAGAGTGAGTGGTGGAGCCAGTATTTCAATTCAAGGAGTCTGGCTTCTCAGTCCATGTTCTGATGACATGCTTTGCTACTTTCCTAGGGTATTAGATAGAATACCTGAAATAAGGAGCAGTTCATTATGATTAGAAGATTAAGATGAGGCACAATATTTGAATGAATCCTTAAGAGAAAACTAAGGGGATGGGATAGCATAGCAGAGGTCCAAAAGTAGGAAAAGGCAACACATTTTCAAGAGAGGGCAGCTGAAATGTGGTACATATATGGATATAGTGGGAAAGGAGGCAGGTCAGGCAGCTGAGAGGCAATGGATGCGGGGTGGAAGAGGAGTGTGCATTTTATCCAGGGCTGCACATTGACCATATGCAGCATGAATATTTACAACCTGCAGTTATGAGGGAATTAATAATAAAAAAAAAAAGGTAATACATTGATGGTACAAGATTCAAAATGAATTCAGTATAAAGTTTCCTCCTTTCATTCACTCTGTTTCTCTCTCCAGAGTCAAGCCTTGTCAACAGTTTTTCACCAGTGTTTTAAAAAGTAAGAGCCAACATTAAAGTATACGTTGCTGTTGTTAGGTGCCATCAAGTCAGTACCGACTCATAGCGACCCTATGCACAACAGAATAAAACACTGCTCAGTCCTGGGCCAACCTCACAATTGGTGCCATACTTGACCCCGTTGATGCTGCCATTTTGCCAGTCCATCTCACTTGGGGTCTACCTCTTTTTCTCTGATCCTCCACCTTACCAAACATGATATCCTTCCCCAGCAACTGGTCCCTCCTGACAATATGTCCGAAGTATGAGACACGAAGTTTGGCCATCCTGGCCTCCAAGGAGCACTCTGGCTGCACTTCTTCCAACACAGATCTGTTTGTTCTTTTGGCAGCCCATGGCACTTTCAGTATTCTCCTCCAACACCATAACTCAAAAGCATCTGTTTTTCTACAGTCTTCCTTATTCACTGTCCAGCTTTCGCATGCATATGAGTTATTGAAAATACCATGGCTTGGGTCAGGTACACCTTAGTCTTCAAGCTGACATCTTTGCTCTTCAACACTTTAAAAAGATCTTGTGCAGCAGATTTGCATAATGCAACACGTTGTTTGATTTCTTAACTGCTGCTTCCATGAGTGTTAATAGTTGATTGAAGAAGAATGAAGTCCTTGACTTCAATCTTTTCTCCATTGATAAGAATGTTGTTTATTAGTCCAGTGGTGAGGTTTTTGCTTCCTTTACATTGAGATACAATCCATACCGAAGGCTGTGCTCTTTGATCTTCATCAGTAAATATTTTAAGTCCTCTTCACTTTCAGCAAGCAAGGTTGTATCATCTGCATATTTCAGGTTGTTAATGAGTCTTCCTCCAATCCTGATGCCATGTTTTTCTTCATATAACCCAGCTTCTCATATTATTTGCTCAGCATAAGGTTGAATAAGTATGGTGAAAGAATACAACCCAAAGGTGTCACACACCTTTCTTTATTTTAAACCATTCAATGTTCCCATGTTCTGTTTGAACAACTGTCTCTTTGCCCATGTACAGATTCCTCATGAAACAATTAAGTGTTCTGGAATACTCATACTTAGGAATTTTGTCCATAGCTTGTCATGATCCACACAATTGAAAACCTTTGTGTAGTCAATAAAGCACAGGTAAACATCTTTCTGGTATTCTCTGCTTTCAGCCAAGATCCATCGGACATCAGCAATGATATATCCCTTGTTCCATGTCCTCTTCTGAATCCAGTATGAACCTCTGAAAGTTCTCTGTCAATGTATGCTTGCAGCCATTTCTATATAGATAGGTAGATGTTCAGCTTCTTTCAAAAAACTTAGATCCTATGACAACTATTGGCTGGTATGGAGGTATGGCTTCCCCCTTTAGCAGAGAAGTGAGTTCTATTTGCCCAAATTCCCGTATCTTCCTATTGTTTCCCTTACTATGAAGCAGACTTCTTGTTGTCATGCATATGCTGTAGATTTTTGTAGAGTAGAAGAATATTAGTCTTTGGCACTGTAGGATAAGCACTCGACCACAGGGTCAGTGGTTCAAATTCACCAGCTGCTTCTTGGAAAACCTGTGAGTCGGAACTAAATTGACAGCACTTAACAACAACATCTATCAAAAGTGAAAAGAAGGTGTGTTTCAGCCTTTACTCTGTGAACAGTGGGGAGCAATAGTATGAGCTCTATTCTATTGATCCCAAATTCAGATAGGCAACATGAGTCCTGTGGAAGGGTAGGCCCAGGCAGAGAGAAGTCTTAGTAGAAAAACTCCTCAGGGGGATTTCAGGCCAGATGGGTCTTACTGGAAGAGGCAGATCTCTGAGTGTTAAAGCCAAGGACATGCTCCTGTAGGCCTTCCTTGTGCACTCAGGATATTTGTTCACTTCTTGCATGAGCTACAGAAATTCCCCATCTAACTCATAAAGGCTTGTACTCTCTCAAACACTTCCTCGGTTTTGTCTGAAATGCTAAGGAGGGCAATTAGGGAATTCACTACCAAAATTTTAAATGGATTTACTCTAGTTATTTGGCATTTGTACTTCTAGAAACTTATCCATCAAACCATCTCACTGTGTATACTTCTGTTCCTTTCTAAATTTTGTACCATGTTTGCATTATCCATTCAGACTGATGATGTCTTAAAGATAAATGTAAATGCTAAATACTTACTTCATAAATATGTACTATCATTATGGCACATTGATAGTATCTCTAAGATTAGACCCAGGAATACTTCATAATACAAGTCACAAGGCCATCTTAGCTTTGAACCAAGTTCTAGTTCAGCTATTGTTGAGAATCTCAGAAAGAATTTTTCCCTTTTAGAAACAGCATCCTAGATGGGACTTACAGTTCACAACTGTGCCAAAGTCCAAAGAACCCAGGTATGACAATGTGAATCACCATCTCCAACATTGTGGGGGAACCACTCCTGGCTTCTACTCAGGGGGCCAGAGTTCATTTCTACTGCAGTCCCCCAGCAGGTCTCTTTTCTTTCCCCAGCTAGAGGGAATGGGGACAGGAGTGTGAGCTCCTGACATGGGGAGAGGGCCTAGCCTTGCATAATGGCCACCTCAGAGTACTCGTGTGTGTGTGTGTGTGTGTGTGTGTTGTTTAGTTTCCATGCTGGTTCAAACTCAGCTCCACTTACCAGCTGTGTATATCTTTAAACATGTTATTTCTCCTCTCTGAGTCTCCATTCCCATATCTGTTAAGTGTAGATAGTAATCCTGTCTACCTCATAGAGTTATATGATGGCTCTGTGTACAGTATTTAAAACAGTGCCTTGGATACAGTAATGATCAATAATTTGTGTGTGTTTTGGTTTACTTGTTTTAGTTAGTTGTACACATGTTTAGTCAGTTCCTTTGCCATTTTGTCTCTAATACAGCCGTAGTGTTTTTCTGAGTTCCTATTTTTAATATGTACAGAGAGAAAACAGAAGCTTTTGTAGACTTTCGTATTCCTGTTCTCCCTCCTTCCCCAGAGGTAACCACTATCCTGAGGTTGATGTGTCCTCAATACATGTAGGCCACACTTTCCGCAGGGTGACGTTTGCTGGAAGGTAGCCCAATGACAGAAATTGTATCCCCACCCCACTCTCTCTTGATTAGGTGGTGAGCTATGCCCCATTCACACTCTTCCCCTCATTGGTGCCCAGTGCCCTGCTCGAGCAGGCCTATGCTGTGCAGATGGACTTCAACCAGCTGGTGGATGCTGTCAGCCAGAACACTGCCTTTCTGGAGCAAACTCTTTCCAGGTACCAGATACTGGGGTTCCAGGGACTTGGGAGCTGTTAGAACCAAGGGATTGCCTATTGCTTTTTCTTGGTGGGATGGAGGACAGGTGAGAAGGAGAAGCCAAAGCAGTGAATGAGGATTCAGGAGAATGGGCTCATAACCCTCGAACCTTTCCTTCTTTGGGTCTCAATTTATTCATCTGTGAAATGGGGAGGTTGGCTTTAATCTGAGGTCCCTTCCAGCACTGGTGTTCTGTAATTCTGTGATTCATGACCATCTGTTTTTAAAGACTAGCATTTACATTTGAAATTAGGGAAGGTCAGCCCAAGACTTTTCATCATTCCAAAGTGAAGCCAAAAGGCAGGAAAAGTTATTGGGTTTAAAGTCAGATTTACTACATCATGTCCTGAGCAGTGGCCCCTCTTTGCCACCCCAGAGTCTCATCTTTGGGTGCAGACTGGGCCATATATACCCAGGGCATGAGGAAACAGAAGCCCTCAAATGACTCTTCCCACCCATTCATCGTCTCTGTCCCTTCCCTCTTGATCTTTTTTTAATTTTCTTCTTCAGACCTTGGGGAAAGGTAAATTTCTTTGCTTTATTTTAGAATTTACAGATTGACGTTCTGATGGTTGCATGTCTTTGATTCAATTTCAAAACCAAACAAGTTATTTTGTTAGAGACAAAAATCTTTAGAAATTGTGCCGGTTGGTGTGAGAGTAGATATGGAAAGGAACCATTAATGGTAAGAAAATTGAAAACCATTGATTTATAGCTAAAAAGGCATTTTGTTCATGTATGTGTGAAGCACGCCACCACCATTCCTCCAAGGTCTTTATCAAACTGGGCCGACAGTTTGTGCCTATGCTTGGGATTGCATGGAAACACATGTTAGAACAGCAGCCTGAAGTCCAGGGTTAAACGGGACCTACTCAGAAAAGGAAATGTGGGTTTCAACATAACTAGAGGCTGAAGCCCAAGGGGACACTGTTTTCCTCCTTTCCTGAAAGAGCTGGTGGCCTAAGCTACTTGGCCCCCCTCATTGGATTGTCATGGGGTGGGTCCCTATAAAAGGGCATCCTTCAAGCTAGGTTTCAGCAGCCATGCCAAGCCCACCCTGTTAATTGTCTGTGGATTTAATTGCCTGTGGATGCCTTCTTACTGTGTCTCTTCCTGGGGCTCCATAAAACCATACTGGATGGACCGCTGCCACATGCCACATGCCCATGCCATAGCAGCACACTGGGCTATTTATAATAATGTTGTCGTTAAGTGCCGTCGATTCGGTTCTGACCCATAGCGAGCCTCTGTAGGGTTTCCAAGGAGCAACTAGTGAGTTTGAACCACTGACCTTGTTGTTCAAACCAAGCTTGCAGTCAAGTGCTTATCCTACAGCAATAACTATATAAAGCATTCGAATGCAAGCCACAAGGTCGGTGGTTCAAACTCACCAGCCACTCCTCGGAAACCCTATACAGGGTCACTATGAGTCGGAACCGACTCATTGGCACTTAACAACAACATATCAAGATTGCTATCCTAGGTCTTAGTGAGCTGAAATGAACTGGTATTGATCATTCTGAATCAGACATTCATATGGTTTACTTTGCTGGGACTGACAAAGTAAAGAGGAATGGCATTACATTCATTGTCAAAAAGAATATTTCAAGATCTCTTTTGTAGTACAATTATGTCTTTGATAGGATAAGTGGTGCTGTGGGTTAATGTGTCAGACTGCAAAGCCGTTTGAACTGCAAGGTCGGTGGTTCAAGCTCACCAGCTGCTCCTTGGAAACGCTATACAGGGTTGCTGTAGGTTGGAATCGACTCAACGGCACTTAACAACAACAACAACTAGGAAGATGAGTTAATACTGTTGTTAAATACCGTGGAGTCGGTCCCGACTCATAGTGACCCTGCACAGGGTTTCCGAGGCTGTAAATCTTTATGGGAGCAAAACGCCTCATCTTTCTCTCACAGAACCGCTGGTAGTTTCAAACTGCCGACCTTGAGGTTAGCAGCCCGATTCATAACCACTACACTACCAGAGCTCCTTGAGTTAATATTACTGTAATTCAAACTTACACACCAACCACTAAAGCCATTGATGACAAAATTGAAGAATTCTATCAACTTCTTCAGTCTGAAATTGGTCAAACATGCAATCAAGATGTATTAATAATTACTAGTGATTTGGTTCCTGGTGTGGCACTGGAGGGTCAGCACTGGACTGCTAACCACAAGATTTGTGGTTCAAACCCACTAGCTGCTCCTTGGGAGCCCTATACAGGATCCTTATGAGTCAGAACTGACTTGATGGCACTTAACATCAGTAATTGGAATGCAAAGATTGGAAGCAAAGAGGAAAGCTCATTAGTTGGAAAATATGGCCTTGGTGATAGAAATGATGCTGGAGGTCACATGATCGAATTTTGCAATACTTAATAACTTATTCCTTGCAAATACCTTTTTTAAACAACATAAAAAGTGACTATACACATGGATCTCACTAGATGGAATACACAAATTTACTACAATATCATCAGCCAGATTGTGGAACAGACCATCAATTGCTCATATGCAAGTTTCAGGCTGAAGCTGAAGAAAATTAAAGCAAGTGCGTAAGAGCCAAAATAAGACTTTGAACATTAGACATTAATGACTGAAGACTGGAAAAGTTGTGGGATGACATCAAATCCTCATATAGGAAGAAAGCAAAAATTCTAAAGAGTCTTCACATCAAGCATCAATCCCATCCTCTCTGTATACAGGGTAGATAGGGATGGGCAAATTAGAAATTGGCTATCTAAAATGAGGGGGTGATAAAGGCACAAAGTGACTGGATTACAAGTTTTCAAGAGGGAGTTTAGTTTAAGAGTGTGCAGAAGAAGGTAGAGTCCCCACTGAATATTTTTCATCTTGTCTAGTTGGGTCTGGTGAAAAGAGATGGGGATAAGATTCTTATGTTTCAATAGTGAGTAATTGTTATCATGACTACTTGTGACTGTCACAGTTGTAAAGGTAGAAGTTTTGTAACAAAAGCAGGGGAGTAGTTAATCTTATAGCCCAGAAACAGAGGACCCTAGGACCATCAAGGGAGAAGAGCACAAGCAGAATTCAGGACCCTATCCAGAGAAGCAGTGACACCAGAGATGGAAGCAGAGTTGAGGACATGGAGAGAGAGAGCAGCTGAGGACCCTGGGATCATGAAAAGAAAGTGTCTGGGTGTTGGCAGCCAGGAGGCAGGCTTGCAGAATGTGTCCTTTGCTTGTTTAAATTATTATATATTCCTGAGTGTTTTTGTGCGCATCCCCCCCCCCAAAAAAAGCCCCCAAAAAACAGAGGGAATGGAAGTAAATACTGTTGAATGATGATGTACAGAGAAGATTGTAATCATTGCAATGAAACAGTGGTTTAAAGCAAATGTTCTCCCATGTAAATGATTACTCAGTTCACAATAAAACCTTTAAAAACTAAAGAGAGACTCTGAAACTTGCTCGCCATGTAAAGATGCTAAAGCAAATGGAAGGAGGTGAAAGAGCTGAACAGAAAATTTCAAAGGTCAGCTTGAGAAGACAAATTCAAGTATTATAATGAAATGTGCAAAGACCTGGAGTTAGAAAACCAGAAGCGAAGAACTCGCTCAGCATTTCTCAAACTGAAAGAACTGAAGAAAAAAAATTAAAGCCTTGGGATGCAGTATTGAAGGATTCTATAGGCAAAATGTTGAATGATGCAGAAACCATCAAAAGAAAGAAGAATACACAGAGCACTGTACCAGAAAGAAGTGGTCAGTGTTCAACCATTTTCGAGAGGTAACATATGATCAAGAGCCCATGGAGAAGTCGAATCTGCACTGAAGACATTGATGATAAATGAGGTTCCAGGAATTGCAGACTATAAATTGAAATCTTTCAACAAACTGATGGAACACTGAAGGCACTCACTCATGTATGCCAAGAAATTTGGAAGACAGTTACCTGGCCAACCGATTGGAAAAGATCCATATTTGTACCCATTCTAAAGAGATAATTTAAAAATGGTTGCAATGGTATATCAAACCTAGAACTGCCAGAAATTCAAGCTGGATTCAGGAAAGGTCATGGAACTAAGGATATCATTGCTGATTTCATATGGATCTTGGTTGAATGCAAAGAATACCAGAAAGATGTTTGCTTGTGCTTTATTGACTATGTAAAGACTTTTGACTGTGTAAATCATGACAAATTAAGGATAACATTGTGAAGAATGAACACTTCATTGTGCTCATGAAGATCCTGTACGTAGACCAAGAGGCAGTTGTTCAAAAAGAACAAGGGGATATTGAGTGGTTTAAAATCAGAAAAGGTGATTTAAAAATCACCAGGGTTGTATCCTTCCACCATACTTATTCAGTCTGTATGCTGAGCAAATGATCCAAGAAGCTGAATTATATGAAGAAGAATGTGGCATCAGGATTGGAGGAAGACTCATTAGCAACCTGTGATATGCAAATGACGTAACCTTGCTTGCTGTAAGCAAAGAGGATTTAAAATAATTACTGATGAAGATCAAAGACCCCAGCTTTCAGTATGGATTGCACCTCAATGTAAAGCAAACAAAGGTTCTCACAACTGGACTGATAAATAACATCATGATAAATGGAGAAAAGATTTAAGTTGTCAACAACTTCATTTCAACACTCATGGAAGTAGCGGTCAAGAAATAAAATGACATATTGCATTAGGCAAATCTGCTGCACAAGACCTCTTTAAAGTGTTTAAGAGTAAGATATCTGCTGCACAAGACCTCTTAAAGTGTTTAAGAGTAAGATATCAGTTTGAGGACTAAAGTCTGCCTGGCCCCTAAGCCATGGTATTTTCAATAGCCTTATATGCATGTGAAAGTTGGACAATGAATAACGCAGACTGAAGAAGAATTGATGCATTTAAATTATGGTTTTGGAGAAGAATATTAAAAGTACCATGGACTACTAAAAGAACAAACAAATCATTGTTGGACGAAGCACAGACAGAATGCTCCTTAGAAAGCAGGATGACGAGACTTTGTCTCATACTTTGGTAATCTCTAGAGAAAGACATCATGTTTGGTAACGTAGAGGATCATCGAAAAAGAGGAAGACCCACAACATGATGATTGACACTGGCAGCAGCAATGAGCTCAACTGGAACAACAGTTGTGACGTTGGTACAGGAGGAGGCAGTGTTCCGTTATGTTTTATATAAGGTCACTATGAGTGGGAACCCACTCACCAGCATCTAACAACAATATAATGAGTTAAGGGGCCTTGGTAGCATCGTGGATTAGGCATTAGACTGCTATCCACAAGGTCAGCAGTTCAAACCCATTGGTTGCACCACAGGAGAAAGATGAGATTGTGTGCATCCGTAAAGATTTATATAGTCTTGGAAACCCTAATGAGTGTGCCTAGCTGGCATTGGGTTTGGTTTTAGTATATAATGAGTCCTCACATACATGGTGCTTCCCTCATGCCATTTACAGTCAATTAGGAGAGCCAACACTCATCTTTACATTACACTAATAAGTTGAAGGGAAAAATTATAGCTATGTTCAGTGTTACAAAGGTCCACAGCTATGAAAGCACACAGTAGAGGAATGTGGCCCAGAGAAGGAAGACCTCCTTAAGGAAAGCACTTCATAAGAAATAGTTTTAAAATCAAAACAGAATGTTTATTTAGGTTGGAAAACTCTTATTGGGGCAAAGCGATCTTCTAATCTTAAAGGGCTATTATAGGGGAGGGTAAGTCTTGTCCTGGGAGGTCCCTTGGTATACGGGAGAGAAGCTACAGAGAATTTAATATTAGGTCAGCCAGGAAGCTTGCCAACCATCAGAGGTATTGTAGACTAGAATAGTATAAAATCTATCACGTTATTTTTTTAGTTCTTCTCAGGACTAAGTCTATATTTAATTCTTTACATGTAGTATGTCATTGAATCTTCACAACTCTGTGATTTAAATCTGATTATTTTCCTGTTCATTTCACACATGAACAAACTGGCCCAGAAAGACGAAATGATTCTGACATTGTCTAGTAGTAAGTGTAAGAGCTGGAATTTGAACCTAGGTCATCTGACTCTAGAGCTGGGTCCTTAATCGCTGTTTTCTACCATGACTGGATGGTGGTGGTGGGAGGTATTCATGTTTTGCCTAGGAGACCTAGAGAATTCAGGAGTTAGTGGTCAGGGCAGAACCTCTTGACCTTTAAGATCCCATGTAGCTTGGAAAATGTTATCTGTTTCCCACTCTAGCACCATCAAAAGGGATGACTTTACTGCGCGTCTCTTTGACATCTACAAGCAAGTCCTGAAAGAGGGCATTGCCCAGGTAACCATGTCTACCCAACCCCAGCCTGGGACCTGCCCCTCCCATTTCTGTTTTTTCAAGCAGATCTTGGCCCAGGCCCTGAGTCTGCTGTTCATTGGATCCCACTGGGTTTGTACATCAGAGACCAATCCTGAGATGACCAGAAGAATGAGTTCCCCTGGGTTTGGGAGTGTTAGCCAATGCTTTCAATCTCTGCATAGAGTTCATGGTACTCGTTTGCCCCGTGGTCAGGCCCTCAGAGGCAGTCTCTGGGGAGGTGCCCTCAACCTTCATTTTTCCCACACAGACTGTCTTCCTGGGCCTGAACCGCTCAGACTACATGTTCCAGCTCAGTGCAGATGGTTCTCCAGTCCTGAGACAGATTGAAATCAACACCATCTCTGCCAGCTTTGGGGGTCTGGCTTCCCGGACCCCAGCTGTGCACAGGTGGGTTCCTTGGGCACACGCATGGGACCTGGCCTGGGTCTATTGTCACAAACTGGGCCAAGAATGTCCAACTCTGACTGTGTCGGCTTGGACCCCAGGTCACATTTTCCCTCTGCAGCATGGTTTCCACTTGTAATCAGGCCTTTGTATGATGTCCAGGAGAGAAGGAACCTGAGGACTCATCTAGTCTTGCCCCTCATTTGTGAATTAGTGTTCCAGTCAGAGGGAACAGTATCTGTGAAGGCCCTGAGATAAGAAAGAGCTTGGCATGTTTGAGGAAGTCAGAATCCAAGGCAGGAGGGATATATGGCCTCCCTATCTGAGGGCTGAGCACTGGTAGTATCCATTTCGGGTCAGCAGTGATGCGCCAAGTCACTTTGATTCCAGATGATTGTAATAAGATTCCAGACAGCACCCAGGGGTTCGGGGTGAGGGGGTGCCTGCTTATTGAGAGTTTGGGGTGGGCTAGAGTCACAGGACCTCAGGGCTCCTCTGGGCATGTACACCAGGAGCCAGGGTTAGGACAGCCCTGCATATTCCACCTGAGGTGGGTCCTACAGGAGCATGATGGTAAGATGCTCTGTTGTGCTCGGCTGATTCTCATAGCAATGTTCCTATGAGTGTCCCAGGTCCGTCAGTTACTGAGCAGCCTTCTCTCTTCCAACAGACATGTTCTCAGCGTCCTGAGTAAGACCAAAGAAGCTGCCAAGATCCTCTCCAATAACCCCAGCAAGGGACTTGCTCTGGGGATTGCCAAAGCCTGGGAGCTCTACGGTTCAGCAAAGTAAGGGAACATGAAAGTGGCAGCAGTATCCTACTGTGAATTCAACACTCGTGGGTGCAGCAACTTCTTATTTGCCTGGCATCATTAGGGAATGAGAGAATTTTTCTAAGAATGAAAACTTGCATCTGCAAGTGCCAAAGTTCTGTTAATGGAGTTTTGGACTTTCTTCCTAAATAAGAGAAACTTTCCTTTTTCTTATTGCTGGAAGGCCCTCGTTAGGATTGTCAGTGGTTGCATCCTACTGTAATGAGGAAGGATGAGAGAGGCATGGGAGGCTGTTTGCCTACACCAATGGCCCCAGGTGGCTGTGCTTTAAATTCTTATTCATTCTCGTCATAGATGTCTCTCTGTCTCCCTTCTATCAGCTCTTCCTTCTTACTGTTGCCCGTGTACTACCACCTGAAATCCTCTACTCCCACTTCCATGCCTCCTTTCTGATTTGCGAGGAAGCAGATTGTCAGGCTTATTATAACTGTGTCTCAAGAGTGTGAGGGCCTATTTGATAAATAAATGCAGACACTTTGAATTAGGTTAGGGATCATATGGTGTCTATTTTAATGGTCTGTATTAGGGAGACCTGGTGACACAGTGGTAAAAACTCTAGGCTGCAAACTGAAAGGTCGGTGGTTTAAACCCACCAGGTACTCTGCAGGAGAAAGATGTGGCAGTCCGCTTTTGTAAAGATTTACAGCCTTGTAAACCTCATGGGGCAATTCTACTCTGTCTTCCCTGTTGTTAAGTGCCATCCAGTTGGTCCCAATTTATAGCAACCCTGTATAGGATTTCTGAGGCATGACTGGTGAGTTTGAACAGTTCAAACCCACCTCATGGTCAAGTGCTTATTCTACAGCACCACAGCAGGACTCTGTCTTAGACGGTTGCAAAGAGTCTGAGTAAACTCCATAGCACTGGGTTTGGGGTTTGAGATTTGGGATTCTAACTGCTTAGAGTTGCTAGGTAAGTGAGGTTCAGATAAGTGAGGGTCCACTGTGCTTGCAGCCACTGCACTGTTACTAACATTAGTAGCACTTACTAGTCCTTATTTGTTCCTTTTTTAAGGGCTTTGCTTTAGGATCTTTGGATCTTATTGAATCCTCATAGCAATCAGTCTCAGATAGGTTCTATTAATTTCTTCCATTTTATAGACAAGGAAATTGAGGTTCAGAGAAGTGAAGTGGCTTATTCAAGGTCAAGTGGTGAGTTGGTGGCAGAACCTAGAGTCCACTTTCCGCTAGAACCTGATTTTTGTTTCTTTTCATTGTGATAAAATTGAGAGTCCTGGTGTGGCACTGTAGGGTAAGCATTCAACCACAAGGTCGGTTTGAATCGCAAGGTCTCCAGCTACTCTTTGGAAACGCTGTACAACTCCCTCCAGAACTTGATTTTGATTTATTTTAATTGTGATAAAATAGAGACATGATATTTGCTATTTTTACCATTTTCAAGTGTACAGTCCAGTGGAGCCCCTGCATTCTTTGTCACTCCACTTGATTCTCTCCTAGAGAGCTTCTCCGGGCTCACTCATCCTTACTGAGATCTATGAGACTGACTCTGCCTATCTAGACATCATCAGAGAAATCATCTATCAAATGGAACTCTTGGTTTAGTTGTATTCTGAGAGAGGGAAGCCAAGAGTTGGGTCAGCTAGGGAACTACTGACGGACAAATGGTGCAAATAGTTTCTCCAGCCAGGCTGTATACAAAGGAAAAAGTCTTGTGTACCTGGAGTTAGGCACTGTGGGTCCAAGCCATGGGGTGCCTAAGCCAAGACTGGCTTCCACCAATTTTGAGAGTCAGAGACACTCTCCTGCAGATCCAACACATGACCTTGATGACCTTTCTCTGAGCTTCAATTTCCTCATTTGAAAAATGGGTGTCACGGAAACCCCTAAAAGAGTGGTAATCCATTGTGGTTGAGTCCGTTCTGACTCGATGGTGATCCCATGGGTTACAGAGCAGAGTTGGGCTCCACAGGGTTTTCTCAGCTGTCTTCTTTATGGAAGCAGGTCACCAGGTTCCAACAAACAATCTCTAGGTTAGGGGTCAAGCATAAGCCATTTATGTGCACCACCCAAGTTGTGGTAAAAATTAAATGAGCTCTTGGTTGTGAAAAATGATTTAAAAAACAAAAATCTTGATGAAGATCTTTATCCTTTCCAGTGTAACAACAGCAATACTGATGACGTTCTTGTTATGTGCCATCAAGTTAGTTCCAACTCATAGAGTGACTCTGTGTATGGCACTACAACACAGTGAAGGAAACTGCTCAGTCCTGTGCTGTCCTCACAGAGAAACCTCAACAGCACTTAACAACAACAAAACAACAAGTTTTATTGGACAAAAGAGCACACTGAGGCTCAGAGAGGCTGAGTACCCTGTCCAAAGTCCCACAGCTAGTAAGTATAGATAGAATTCATGTCTGTCTCCCTCTAAGACTTTGTTCTCCACTACACTGGTATGTCTCCAAGAAAACTAAAATATAAGCATTTGTAGAATAAAAGGAATTTGCATCAATTATCTCATACTTTTTCAGGAATTTTTTAAAGGAAGACTATAAACAAATTATTATTTCAGTATAGATGAACTCTCTAAACAAAAGGTTTGTGGTTGGGATGAGCAGAAATGGTAAAAGGTTGAGAAACACTGATCTGTTTAGTCCCTTTATTTTGTATAGGGAAGTCAGGGCCCTAAGAAGGAAACTGACTTACCCAAGGACACAGCCCAAGTCACAGGCAAAGCCTCATTTCCCGTCCAACAGGCTACCGCCACTTCACCTTCCTTAGCTGACAACATTTCTCACCCTACCCCAACAGAGTGCTCAGAGCTAAAGGCAGGAAAAGGTAGACTATGTTTTCTGGCTCTGACTGGGAGCATTTAGACTGGTAGCAGTCAATTAACTGGAGCATGAGGTTCCATGTTAACCTGTAGCTTCCAGCCTCCCTCCTCCACCTCTCCTTGGAGGTGGGCCAGCCTTGGGCCAGGCGCCACCTTCCCACACACACTCACACATGTGCCCAATCAACAGCCGAGCAGATCAGGCTGCAAAATGAAGAGCAAGTCCGTCGTTCTTGGGACTGTCAGCATAAGGTGGTTTGTGAAAGGTAGCTTGTCTCCAGGCTACCCAGCTCCCAACAAAGCTATGGCTTAATGTTTCTTCTAACTTCATGAAATAATAGGCAGGCAGGGACAGGGGTACTAGGACCTGTATTTCAGCTAGGTGAAAGGAATCAAGCAGACAGAGTTCACTCTGAGGGTCCCGTTCAGATAGGGAAAAACAGAAGCAAATAAACAAGAAGAGGTGAGGAATCTACACTTATCCTCCTAAGCTAAATCTGGACCTCCAAGAGTCTCAGCAAGAAGCCACAGGCGCAGAGCCGTACTGCTACAGGGAAAATGGAATTTGGTACTGCTGAGGAGCGGCCCCCAGTGAGTCTGCTGGAGAATTGGGCCTGTCTCTGACAACTGAAAATAATTTGGCTGATAATCCACAGACAATTGTCTGGCACAAGATTTTCTCTGAATCCTTGAACCCCTACTTTAAGAAACATGTGGCTAAAAAGAGAAGAGACCACGTAAGCCCCAGTGATACCATCCATACAGTGGAACCAAACCCGACCCTGTGTACATGCCAGGGATTTTGGGAGGTCCCAGGAAATAGTCTTATTTGTATGTACTTACATAGGCCTTGTATAGGGTTCCATTGATCTGTTCTAATACTTCATGCAAGAACTACACTTTCTTATGATATATATTTTACAATCTAATAATAGTCATCAGTTCCCAACACTCAACATTTTTCTTTTATAGAATATTCTTTAATATTCCTACCTGTTTATTCTTCCAGACAGATTTTAGAATCATGTTAAACCCAAGAAAATGTCCTCTTGGGTTTTGAGATGGTTTTAAGTCTAAAGTTTAATTTGCACAGAATTGACAGCATAACAATATTTACTCTCTGGAGAAGGAGCAGGCACAGCTCCAGTTTTGCAAGCTTCTTATTTTCAGGAACTAATGTGTCATCACCTCGGCTGTCTGGGCCTGAGGCAGTGCTAAGTTGAGGACCATGTGCTCCTCCTTTCCGGGAAGTGAAAGCAGGAGCACATGGCTCATTCTTGATGGGTGAGAGAGAGGAGGCCGCACTCTGTAGCAGCCTGGGGCCACCTGTGATCTTTCCCTAGTGCGCTGGTGCTGCTGATTGCTCAAGAGAAGGAGAGGAACGTGTTTGATCAGCGTGCCATAGAGAATGAGCTCCTGGCCAGGTAAGTAAGGCAGGCAGGGCTCGAGATGTGGCCTGACATGGAACAGAGCCTCCACTTAAACTGACCCTTGCCACCTTTCCCCAGAAACATCCATGTAATTCGGCGAAGATTTGAAGATGTTTCTGAAAAGGGATCTCTGGACCAAGACCGAAGGCTATTTATGTAAGTGGTCAAGGGGCATTCCCCAAGGGTCCAGTGGAGTGCTGAATTATGAACCTCATCCCACCACCCTCTTCCCCAAAACTGTCCTTTCTCCTTAAAGATGTGATGACTTGCTTCCTTCTCTCTAAATTTCAGATGGGAATTCTGAAATAATCTGTCTTTCCTGGAAATTATGGAGAAGGCCACTCAACCTCTGCCTCTGAAGGGTTGTGTCAGAACTGTTGGCATCTGGATAAGGGCATTCTTAAAGATAACCTTAGTTTTAATATGTGTTGAGGCTGCCAAAGTTTTATTGACCTTTGTGGTTGTGTCAGGCCTGGGCTGTTGAGCCGGGCAGTCTGGGAGCAAGAGGAGCAATCAACTCAATCTGTGATTGATCTAGTGTCACTGTCTAACTGCAGACAAGACTCCAAGGGGCCTTAATTTGTGTTCTAACCCAGGCTCTATCCAGAGACGGCCACAAGGTGGCTTTGCTGCCACATTTGGTAGCATTGCTCCATGTGTACAACCTCCATGGAATCCCACAGTATCACTTACTATTTTTAAACTGTGCTATTTATCATATCAAAGCAAAGTAGTTATTTTCCTTTCCAGTTTAAATAGATAAACTGGACGTCTAACAGGTCAAAGAAAAGGGGAAGAAGTTTAAAAAGGTAGTCTGTGTCTTAATTAGACTCATAGTTTTGCATCGCCCTTTCCCACTCGCACCCCTCAGCCACTTCAAACAGTGAAAATGCAAGTGTTTTTTGCTAAACGTGGCATAGTATTCTGCTGTTCAGTAAATTTGAGCCCACTTTTAAAATTTTTACCTAATCCAGTTCTGTTTACCAGCCTGCTGCTTTTCTGATCTTCCTAGAATACCTGACATCTGCAGAATTCTAAGGCAGCTCTTTCATCAATAGTGTACACATTCCTTCCTGTACACCTCCATGCTTTTTAGTGAAAGTACTGGTGGGCAGGTATCTACTTCTATTGGTTACAATGAGTCCCTGCCCAAACTCCCACTGTGGATTGTTTCAATGGACCTAAACTTATTTTGATGCACCCAGGAACTGATTGAACCACTGAATACATCAGTTATAATTTAATACAGCTGTTTTCTCCATTCTGCGTTCTAGGGACGGCCAGGAAATTGCTGTGGTTTACTTCCGGGATGGCTACATGCCAAGTCAGTATAGTCTACAGGTTGGTATTTTTTGTTAGGCCATTCTTTGCCTCCTGGGACTCACCAGAGCTCCAGAGAAACATAAGAGACATCACAACAACCTGGACTTTTCCCTGGGCTCTGGTTTCATGTTTTCCTCAGGGAACTTATTACTGGACCATGCTATCCTCCTGAAAATTTTTTCTACTTCTCAGTCTCCACAAACACATTCCCTTCAAGAATCTAAATCCTCAGGAATCCGTGGTACTGCAGAACTCACACTCTCTCCAGTGGTATGCTGGAAAATGTCGCTCACAGGGAAAAGCCCCAATTGGTAACATTTGTTTTTTTATGATGTACATACTGCCACCATGACAAATTTCAAGCTACCCAAATTGGCATCTCTGAACAGAATTAGGAAGACGTAAATACAGTCTATCAGTTCCAGAACACCACTGGCCATTTCCTTGCCTGTTTTGTATCTAAGGCAGAAAGTTTTTAATCATCGTGTTAATGACAATAATGATACCTCCTTACCTTCTATGTCGTTTCAAAATTACTTCTTTTACTGCTTAAAACCACTCCGTGAGCTGTAGGGTTATCTCCACTATACAGATAGAAAAACTAAGGTTTGGAGAGATGCCAGGGCTTGTCTAAGGTCCTACAGGGAATTTCCAACCTTTCTGACTCAGTCCACTAGCCCTCCCAGCGTATACTTTTTCCCCTCTGCCCCTAATGTCCACAACATGTTGTTATGTTGTTAAGTGCCGTCGAGTCGGTTCCGACCCATAGCGACCCTGTACAGGGTTTCCGACATAGAGAACTAAAAAGCCTCTGCTTTTATTTAGGGGAAGGTAAAGAAATAAGTTGGGTAATACTATGAGCAGCAGGCTGAGGGTCATGAGCCTTTGGCTCTGCTTCTGTGACCATATGCCTATCTGGGGCTCAGCTTTACTATCTGTAAACTAACGGAACTACATTTAAAAACAAGAAAAGAAGGCGCTCCTTCCAGTTCTACCGTTCTTTGAATCTAGACTGCTCCCTAAGACCCAGTACTGTTGTTACCAATGGTGTGAACTTGCTGGCTAGAGAAGAAAGAAGCTGTTCATTGGAAAAATGGATCTAGGTTCCAAGACCAGGAGCATTGAGGAAAGGGGCCCTAGAGAATGCTAAAAGAGAGAAGAGGTGGTGCTAACAAGAAAATCTTTTGGGAACTAAAAGTTAAGTCTAGGTTTGGCACATGGAGAACAAGTCTGCAAGACTCAGTGACGTCCCAGGGATCATGGGTAAGACACTGCTCAGACTTGGGTTTTGCTTTATCTACTCCATATCTGAAGGAGCTCTGGTAGCCTCGTGGTTACGAATTGGGCTGCGAACCTCAGGGTCAGCAGTTTGAAACTGCCAGCTGTTCCGTGGGCGAAAGATGAGGCTTTCTGCTCCTATAAAGATTTACAGCCTCGGAAACCCTGTGCAGGGTCGCTATGAGTTGGAACCGACTCCACAGCACATAATAACAACAACTCCATATCTGTGTCCATTCCAAAGAGAGGTGACTCAGTGGAATGTGGAAACCATCAAACAATATCATCAATCTCATATGCAAGTAAAATTTTGTTGAAGATCTTTCAAAAACAGTTGCAACAGTACATTGGCAGGGAACTGCCAGAAATTCAAGCTGGATTCAGATGAGGACATGGAACAAGGGTTATCACTGCTGACATCACAAGTATTTTGGCTGAAAGCAGAGAATACCAGAAAGATGTTTACTTGTGCTTTATTAACTATGCAAAAGCTATGGATTCCATTGAGAAGAATGGGAACTCCAGAATGTTTCATAGTGCTCATGAGGAATTTGTATATAGACCAAGAGGCAGTTATTCAAATAAAACAAAGTGACACTGACTGGTTTAAAGTCAAGAAAAGTGTGCGCCAGGATTGTATCCTTTCACCATACGTATTCAATCTGTATATTAATCCAAAAATAATCCAAAAACCTGGGTTATATGAAAAAGAATGTGGCAGCCAGATTAAGAGATGACTCTAACAAACTGCGATATGCAGATGATCACAACTTTGATCAACTAAGCGAAGAGGACTTAAAATACTGATGAAGGTCAAAGACCACAGCCTTTGGTATGGGTTACACCTCAATGTAAAGAAAACAAAAATCCTCATAACTGGGCCATAAAAAACATGCTAAATGAAGAAAATATTGAAGTTACCAAAAACTTCATTTTGCTTGGATACATAGTCAACACTCATGGAAGCAGCAGTCAGGAAGCCAAACAACATATTGTATTGGGCAAATTGGATAGAGAAGACCTCTTTAAAATGTTCAAGAGCAAAGATACCAGTTTGAGGACTAAGGTGTGTTTAATCCAAGCCATGATATGTCGAGTAACCTCATATGCATTTGAGTTACGATGTTGGAGAAGAATATTGAAAGTGCCATGGACTGCCAGAAGAACCAACAAAAATGTTGGAAGAAGTACAGGCAGAATGTTCTTTAGAAGTGAGGATGGTGAGACTTTATCCCTCGTCCTTTGGACATATTCTCACAAGGGTCCAGTCCCTGGAGAAAGATATCATGCTTGGTAAAGCCGAGGATCGTCGACAAAAGGAAGATATCTGAAGTATCTTTACTTTGACACAGTGGAGTAGCACTGGGCTCAAAAGTAACAATTGTGAGGATTTTGTAGGACCTGGCAGTGTTTTGTTCCCATGAGCAATTATCCCCTCTGTTCTCTTGCCTCTCACACCCTAAATTCAATCACAGACCCTTCATTCTGTGATTATGCACCTGCAGGCCTTTGTGTATGTTGTTACGCTACACTGAGCACTCGCCCCATGGAGTCTCACCTTTCTCAGGCTCCCACTCAAATTTCACCTCATTCAATAATAAATACCCACACACATGCATGAGTTTGTGGAAATTTTTCATTAGTTTTTAATTCCATTTTCCTACAAATTTACAAAGCCCCCTCGTGTGTGTGTGTTTATTTACTTATTTGTTGTTGTTGTTGTTGTTATGTGCCGTGGAGTCGGTTCCGACTCATAGCGACCCTGTACAGGGTTTCCGAGGCTGTAAATCTTTACGGGAGCAGAAAGCCTCATCTTTCTCCCGCGGAGCAGCTGGTAGTTTCGAACTGCTGACCTTGTGGTTCACAGCCCGATTCGTAACCACTACGCTACCAGAGCTCCTTATTTATTATTTAGCACCTACAAAAATGCCAGGCACTGTGTTAGACAGTGGGGTAGCACAGAAAACAAAAACAGCTAATGGTCTGGTCCTTAAGGTGCCTGTAATCTGGTCAGGGAGATGGATATCAGAAATAAGCAAAAAGTTTTCTGTTTTCTCAGTTGGGGACTGAAACAACATGGTGGAGTGAGAATTATGGGACTGGACAAGCACTGGTCTGCTAACCACAAGGTTGGCAGTTCAAACCCACTAGATGCTCCTTGGAAACCCTGAACAAGATCACTCTGATAGCTGACTCCATGGCTCTTAACAACAACAACAATATTAAATAAAGTTCAGAGATGCCTTCTTGGATATGACTTTGGGTCAAGACTCAAAGATAAGAAGAATTCAGCCATCCATGGGGAAAACGAAGAGAATTCCAGGCAGAGGGAAAAGCAGCAAATGTGTAGGCCCTGAGGAGGGAACGAAGTTTAAGAAATGATATGACAGGCCGTGTGGCTGGAACTTGGCAGTGGGGGCTGGGAGGGTGGCATGAAATAAGGTTGTCAGAAGAGGAAGCAGTTGGGATTTTATTTGGAGAACATTGGGCAGCTGAGTTCATAAGCAGCCCACCTTTTTTAAACCTCTTCATCAGTTAGCTCTACGCAAACCTTTTCTCTTTTTCTCTCTAGAAGGCCTCTTGAGACTTTAGTAGCCTTCTTGTTGTTAAGTGCCGTTGAGTCGTTTATGACCCATAGCGACCCTGTACAGGGTTTCCATGGAGGAGCTGGTGAGCTTGAACCACTGACCTTGCAGTTCAAACGACTTTGCAGTCTGACGCATTAGCCCACAGCGCCACACCAGGACTTGGCTCCCTGATTATCCTTCTTAGTTGGGTCAGACCCCATTCATTAGCATCAAGTGTTATCCTTTCCTCAGGAACCAGGACTGAAAGGTCAAATTGTTTATTGCAGAGGGTTCCATGCACAAGTGGAAAGTATTAGAAACACCACCAGGTTAAGAACTAGAATGTGCCCAGAAGCTCCCCATGTATCCCTTTCCAATCCTCACTTCTTTCCTCCCTCCTAGAGGTAAACACTACTCTGACTTTTATAATTCTTTGGTTCTATTTATATTTTTATTATAAAATATCTTTGTAGTCTTATGTGTTTTACTTCTTTCATCCACTGTGTTGTGTATAGCTTTCGTTTGTGCTTTGTAAATGCTGTCTAATGTTCCAATATAGGAATAGACCACAATTGGTTTATCTATTTACTATTTTCTGTGAGTGGGTAGGAGTCATGAGTTAGGGGTAGGACTCTGGCTAGGTGTAAGCTAGGCCTAGGGCTTCGTTTAGTGTTAGAAGTAGCATTAGCATTGGCATTTTAAGTATATTTTGTTAAGTGCCATTGAGTTAATTCTGACCCATAGCGACCCTGTACAGGGTTTTCAAGGAGCTACAGGTGAGCTTGAACCGCTGACCTTGCAGTTCAAACTGACTTTGCAGTCCAGTGCATTAATCCACAGTGCCACACCAGGACTCCATATTAAGTATAGTCCTGTGTCATTGTGCTAGACTTTGAGCTCCCTGAAGGTGACAACTCTATCGACTGGGAGGAGTCACAGCTGCCTTGCAAGGATGATGCACTGACCCTGGCAGATAATTAATGTGAAAATCTAAAGTGTGTGAAAGGAAAAGCAGACCAACCTAGAGTGGCTAGAAGAACAGAAGATATTTCTTGAAAGAAAGACCTACAGGAGAAATATAAAACAACATAGGCAGACCGACTGTTACTACAAGAACAAGCAACTTGCTTGCCCAGGAAACATCAAGGCAAGTGGTCGGGTCCCCTCAGTGCAAACCCCCTTCCAAGACTAAGACTCAATGGGAATACACGCTGTG